TCAGCATCATATTGGATAGGGGCTGAAGGTGTCCTGGAGTGAGATTTCTCCGATCATTCCCCTAGGAGGAGTTGGCAAGAACGTGCTTAAAATGCATGAAAAACGAACATTTTTGAAAATGGCCGACTTTGTCGGGGGCGGGGCTAATAAAAGCCAATTTGAAATATGTCCGCAATCATAAGAGAAATTTGTATACAGCGTTTGTGAATATTGGAAAAACTATACGCGAGTAGTTTGGAGTCATTTGGAGTAATTTGTGACATGTAAATCGTAAAAAATGGAAAGTTCTCCGTTCGCTTACGAAGTCCTCGTTTGAGCGATCAACTATTCCTTCGCAATTTAGCATCACATTGGATATGGGCTGAACTTGTTCAGCATTGGAATTTTTCCGATCATTCCCCTAGGAGGAGTTTGCAAGAATGTGCTTAAAATGGCTGAAAAACGCACTTTTTCAAAATGGCCAACTTTCTCGGGGGCGGGGCTAATAAAAGCCAATTTGAAATATGTCCGCAATCATAAGAGCAATGTGTATACAGCGTTTCGTGAATATCGGAATAACTATATCCGAGTAGTTTGGAGTAATTTGCGACATGTAAATCGTCAAAAATGGAACATTCTCCGTTAGCTAACGACCTCCACGATTGAGCTTTCAAAAATGTTCTTCTCAATTTAGCATGATATTGGATAGCCGCTGAACGTGTCCTGGATTGGAATTTTTCCGATCATTCCCCTAGGAGGAGTTCGCAAGAATGTGCTTAAAATGCATGAAAAACGCACATTTTTCAAAATGGCCGACTTCCTGGGAGGCGGGGCTAATGGAATCTTTATACAAATATGTCCGCAATTTCATGAGGAATGTCTGTGCCAAAATTCGTGAAGTTCTGAGAAACTTTATGTGACTACCACACAATAGGGGGCGCTAGTGAGCAGTTTTTTTGAAAAATTACGTTTTTTTTTACATTCTCGAAAAGGTTGTGGGCTCTGACGTGTGTCCCAAGTTTTGCGTCCGAAGCTCATTTTATGCTATCGCAATTTAAAAAAAATGTTTAGGCCACGCCCACATTCGGAATTTGTTGCGACACTTTAAATCTGAGTTCGTAGTCACCCCGAGAGTGTGTGTAAAAAAATATATATATATATTAGTCCATCCGCTCTTGAGTTATAAATTGGTGGTGTTTTTGGCGCCCCCTATAGTCCAAAATGAAATTCATTCAAATGGTCATTCGGAGTTAAGGTGCGACTATGTACATTTATTCCGAAATGGGATTTTGATAGGTGGCGCTAGTGAGCACGTTGCAATATTTTAACACATTGACTCCAGAATGTTGCAATTTTTACGGGTCCTGGCGTCTGTGCAAATTTATACAACTTTTTAAGCGTCCTAAAGGCCTCAAAAACAGGAAACGCCAGCACTATAATAATAATTCCACCAATAACAATAGGTTTCCTCGCACTTCGTGCTAGGACGCCGTCGGGTCCTAGCACATCCGTGCTCGGGCCCTAAATATAACTAATGTTCACTGAAGCAACAGCGGCTGGTCCAGCGACTTCCACTACGTAGAAAATATGGCGATCTTTAAGTGCTTTTTGACCATTAAGTTTTGTCCCATAAATCCTGTAAAACAACACTCACTGTGCCATGAGCTCCCCACTGTTCACATTTGGGACACACTTATATGCTCAAAGTAGCAGATGTAAGTACAGAAGTACGCCAATTGAGACACAGCAAAGGGCTGCAGGGTAATCACACAAAGGTGGATAGAATCAGGGCAGGGCACAAAAAGAAGGGAAACCAGAAATGACACAAGAAGAGTGTTTTTACAGAATAAAACAATAGAATGACAAAATCATTACGGATCAAATTCTGACATGTGAAGCCCACTTTATGTTAGGTATTGTCCCATAAATCTTGTAGACATGACTCAAGGGTGCTGTAGGAGACATGAGACGTACAAAGTAATGCATTTTGTTTTAATACATTTGTTTTGTACTAGTTTATATTTGGGTAATGGTTTGTATTATTATAAGATATTTATTTAATCGCTATGGGTTGGTTGCTTTGGGTCACATGGATATGGGTGGCACTCAGGGGAATTTTAATCCTGTTCACCTGTGTGAGGTGTGTACGTGTGTGTGTGGAAGAGAGGGTGACACAGGGTTGTTGTATTTTTGGTTGACCGCAAGTTTAAGGATTGCTTTGATTATTATAACAATGTCTATTTCTACGGAAAATTGATCATCTATTTTTACATTAAACTACATTATTATTCACTTCAATTTTTTATCTCAGCAAGTACTTTTTTTAGCATGTCATAAGCAAACAGGCCCGGCCTCAGCCTCTCAGCGACTTTGTTTGTTTCCTGCTGTCGCTATAGGTGCTTTTACTAAATAAAACAGAGAACAAGATCATGACGGATCTAATTCTGACATGTAAAGCCCACTTTAAGTTAAGTATTATACCATATCTCATGAAAAACAACACTCACTGGGCTGCAGAGCCAGCAGGGAGCTGCCCAGGTAGGGGAATCTCATGGAGGAGGACTTTAGGCGCTTGGGAGGTGGGCCGAGTAACGATGAGGTAGCTTGATGATGAAGTAGGTCGATGGGAGAGCCCTTGGATTTTGAGTACTCCACCCCTAAGGGCTGCAGGTGGGCTCGGAGGTGGCTGGTTCGAGAACCTTTCAGGGTCTCGAACCTCAAGTGCTCCAGCGCTAAACAGGTAGAAGAAAGTTAGATAATGCTGCGGTGGAATAGTGTTTGTTGGCTCAAATTACCACTTTTTACACTGCTATGGACAATTTTGCACTAATGTACATTTCCCAAAGATTCTCTTACCTTTGGGTCTTAAGATAGGCTTTGATAATCTCTCCACTAGATCAGTTCTGTCCAGGTCCATTAAAACCTCCCTGGTCACCTCCACAGACTGCGGACCACAGGTCTCCACCATCTGATCCACTAGCTGGAGTGCACTTTCTGCCCAATTTGAATATCCATGAAAGATGCAGGATATTCTCTTCTGGAAGTACGTGAACTGCAGATACCACTGAAATCTGTGCAGCTCATCGTCACTCATAAACACAAGAGCTTTAAAAAGGATTGGTTTCACTGCTGCAATTTGAGCCTGAACAAATAAACAGATGTTTAAGAAAATGTGTTGTTTCTCTATGGAAATAAATATTACTTTGTTTTCATTTAGTCAGTCAGTGTTTCAGACAAGTGGGTTTCCTACAATTTTGACAAGATCTCTCAAGTCAAAGACACACTAACATCTGTTCTATATAATATGTTTTGCATTTTTCTTCACAAATGCAAACTTTGATATGAGTGTTCAGACTGAAGTCTGCTAATTTGATCAGAACATCAGCGGAAGAAAAATCATTTTGACAGAAGAGATCAACCTTAAAAATTGTTTGGTTTACATCATAATTGTTATGTTCAAGATGGATATGGTTAACAACTTGCATCTATTGAATGAAAGCTGTGATGTGTAAAGTCAGACTCACTCCCTCGGACTGTGCAGGTCGATGTTCATCCACAGAGTACATCTCTGAAGAGAGAAAATATATTTAAAATTACTTGGAAGATTGAAAACGTATTTAACATAAGAAAATATGAAATATTAAACTTTAAGAAGGCCCACTTACTTTAAAAGAAAAAAAATGAATGTACATCAATCAAAAAGTCACAGTCTTAAGCATTTAAACACAAGATGTTTAGTTGAGACAATGTGCCTTTTGATCATTTAATTGTTTGAATTTAACCCTGTCCCAATTACTTTTTTATATTTCACATTGATGACACCAAATTCTTTTTTATAATGAAATATAAAATGTATTGGATGAAACGTTTATGAAAATATTGTTTATGGGATGCAAGGTTATTTCTTTCTTCTTTGTGTTACCTTTGAGTTCGAAGCAGGGCTTTGTCAACCTCTGCCTCAGATCAGTCCTGTTAATGTCCTTCAAAACCTCCACGGTTATCTCGAGACACTGTTGGCCGAAGATCTCCATCATCTGTTCCACTGTTTGTGCTCTGCCTGCTGAGGGACTCCAAATCAATGGAAAATATCTTGGCTTCTTCTTGTCGACAATTAAATCCAGGGTCTGCTTGAAATTCTGAAGATCCTCGTTTTTCAAATCATTCAGAGTTTCCAAAAGCAGATTTTTAACAACTGCCATTGTTGCTACCTGAAATAATCAATACTTTAATTAGACATGTGTATATTCCTCTTGGAAAATTACAAATGTGTCTATTTGCATCTCGTCCCTGCTAATGTTTCCCTTCAACTCTTATAAACTGGTTAATTGTTGTTGTTTGGACAAACAGACAAACAGATCATCATAGATAAGTCGATCATGTCCCAGCTAGCGGGGAACGTTCTGACACAACTTTGGCTAACGTTACCTACAGGTTCTAATAAGGTTTTAAAGAAACGTTTTAATCTGGTGTTCAAAGAACCTTTTTAGGATTTATTTATATAAGGTTTAAGGTTAACTAAGACAAAACGTTTTAACTGCAACATTCAGAGGATGTTATTAAGGCCTGAGATGACAGAAAGTTTTTTATAAAACGTTCCTTTAATGTGATATGTTAACAAAGGTGGAACGTTTTGCCTGCAACATTCTAAGGATGTGTTTTGGACGTTGTTGGCTAACACATTAAAGATGTTCTTTATACCAGGGGTTCCCAAAGTGGGGGTCGCGAGATGATTACAAAATAAAAATGGAAAATAAAAATAAAATACAATATTTTAAAAGATTGATTATTTTTTAAAATATATATTTTTTTTATTATTAATAATAACTTTTGCATAGACATTTTCAGGGGCGGACTAGTCATCTGTATAATTTCCCCGCAACGAGGCGAGTGCG